AAGAGGTGGGTCTCGGGTGACACACCCCAGAATCAGGCTCCCTCATCTCTGGTTCTGGGTAGGTCACCTGAGAACCGCAGCTGCCAAGTTACCCCAGCTCTGCAGCTTCTGTGTTGAGCGTCTGCCCCCTTGTGATCAGTGAGCATCACAGCTACCAGTTGGAGTGTCTGCCCCCTTGTGGTCATTGTGTGTCATAGCTACCAGTCTGACAGTCGAACAGTTGGATGGCCGCTTAGGCTTTAATATATAGAAATATTACCTTCCCAATTGGCCTTAACCTCCTTAAGGGTAAGGATTTGGTCTTTAATAACATCCACCTGCACATTCCATGTAAATAGGTAAGCACTTCACAATAACTAGACTATCAGCACTCTTTTTACTTAAAAGGAAATATTGTAAACAAATAAATAGGAACATACCTTGGTATTTAAGAATTTAACATTCACCACTTTGGCCAGTCAAGACTTATTTAAAGGTCCATGACATGTAGTCGTTTATTTGTTTCACGAGAGCACATGCTTCCAGGAGTGAGTGGCAGCAGGCACTTACCTAAGTGAGTCAGCCTCATACAATGTAGCTTTGCTGTTCTCTATTTGCAGGTAGATACTACCATTAGGTATCCAAAGGGTGCGGGGGAGAATCACTTAAATGTTTCAGATACACTATTGTATTTTTAAATTAGATTTCATAATGATATCATTAATTTATGGATTCTTGAAATACTTGAAATATACCCCAGAATTTGATCTTGTTAAAGATTAAATCAGATCTTTATAAAACCCAAGAATGAAGAAATGCCATTGTCATAGTTTCCCAAGCTTATTAATAAGAACACGTGTTCTCAAACTTTAGCATGCCTCAGAATCACGGGAAGGCTTCTTAAAACACTATTTGCTGACCCCCTACTTCCAGAGTTTCTTATTCAGCATGTCTGAGGTAAGGCCCAAATTTGCAACGCTAACCACATTTCCAGGTGCTGCTGGTGCTGCTGCTTCAAGAACCACACTTTGAGAACCTCTGCTTTGAAGGATTAAAGCCGTTATTCCAAATCCACATAACTGTATGGGCCTTCACACTCACTGTCATCTACATGAAATCCTTTCACTTTCTTATGATCAAGTGGCAAAATTATACATTATGATGAATAATTAAAACCAAACTAGCCATGATGTTTTCAAATAGTTGTTATTTTGAAGTAAAAATGTGATGTTAGAATTACTACATTGGGAAAATATGTAGTGGTTTTATTTTATTCTAACTTAAATGCAATACAACTGTTATAGAGATTGATTTTGTAGCACTTGCCACCATTATATTTAAATAACTACCCAAATATCTAATGTCTCTTTCCCCCAACTTGATTGTTCTCACCCCTGAAAGCAAGGACTATCCTTTCCTCTGTAGTTTACTATTGTATCTCTGTGGCCTACCACAATGTCTAATACTAACAGGCCTCTTAAAAAATAACTGTTGACATATGTAAAACTTTAGACAATAAAAATAAAAAAAGTCCAATCTGCATCTGCTTACCTACCAAAAAATAAAAAAGAAATAACTGTTGAGTAAATGAATAAACAAAGTTTACTGACAACCTATTGTTATTTAAGGTGCACATACTGGTGATACAAACGTAAATTAGATATAACTTCAACTCTCAAGCTACTCACAGTCTATTGAGGGGCAGCAATATATTCAGTTTATCAGAAAGCAATGTAATAAGTGCTTTATAAGTAATATGCACAAAATGCTGAGGGACATCATTAAAAGGTTGCTTAAAGCTGCTAGCAAATCGGGACATGGTAGAAGGCTTCCACAAGGAAGTGATAAATCCCAATATGTGGTATATTTAATGTCTCATCCACATTGCTAGTAATCTCAAGTATCCACAGGATTCTATGCTAAGCTTTATGGAACTAGCAAAGTATTCTATTCTAACACAAAATCGAACATGCAAGTCTCCATAGAACAGGATAGCACTTTTCTAAGATGTTTCTACTATTGGGGTTTTAAGAAAAGTATCACTTTACTGTCCAAATATTTCCCCCCAAAAATCCCCTTCAAACACTCTACAGAGAAATTTAAAATTTCAAAGTATCTGGAAGAGAAGTATAAAAAGGATTTTAGCCCTGACCGGTTTGGCTCAGTGGATAGAGCGTCGGCCTGCAGACTGAAGGGTCCCAAGTTCGATTCTAGTCAAGGGCATGTACCTTGGTCGCGGTCATATCCCAGTTGGGGGTGTACAGGAGGCAGCTGATCGATGATTCTCTCTCATCGGTGTTTCTAACTCTCTATCTTTTTCCCTTCCTCTCTGTAAAAGAAATCAATAAAATATATTTTTTTAAAAAGGATTTTAAAAAACATTTCATCTCTCTCCTTCAGCATCTAAATGAAAAATAACCTGAGTGCCTTGAAAATCGAAATGTTTTCGCAATATTAAACAAAAGAAACCTAAATCAATTGGTAAAATATTATGGAATTTCAATTCACTTCTATTCAAATTCTGTAAGGTTTAATGCAATCATCATAGAACTATAATTATCCTTTGGACAAAACTTTTTCCTTAGTTTTACCACAAGATGGCCCCCTAAGCCTAACATCTAAATGTGCAGTTTCTCTAGCACATCTCTGTTTTAGGCATTTTTCTTTTTTATGTATTAATAAACACTAATGACTAACTTTTAAGAGCTTAAAGTGTCTTTTTCCACTGTTTATTATTAGTGAATTGAAAATGAAAAGAAAATACAGAGACTCTAGAAGAGGAAGAAAATTAAACAGTTCATCATTCTCCACGTGTATCATATAGCCAGCTATTTAACATAAGAGCAATGTATCTCACTAGATTTCATTTTCTTCTTTTACTTTATTTTAAAAATTTTCCAGAATAAGCATATATTGCTTTTATAATCAGATAAAATTATACTTTAAAAATAAAAAAAACAATACTTTTGCAATCACCTTCTACCCTATTATCAGAGAATCCATTTATAAAATGTTTTTATGCACTATAATACTATCAAAGTTATAAAAACAGAATTCCATCCTCAAAGATTGATACCATCTAAGACAGAATAGCTTTTGTTGTGTGTTTTAAAGCATATGATGAAGGACCACAAAAGAAAGAGCGAATTTATTTTCAATGTGATGTTTTTCATCTGTAGAGAGGCTTGGTTTCCTGGTCCCATCTAAGTGTTACAGCACATTCTTCAATAACAGTGCTCCCCTTTACTATCCATTTGTGTTGGGTTTTATGCATTATGATTCTCTTCTACTTCTTCAGTTAATTAAGAGTCATGAAAGTTATTATTCTAATGTACTGACTATTTAAGCATTAGAACAATGGGTGAAGCCACTGTTTTCCCTACTTGTAACAAGAACGACAACAAGAGAGTGGGGAAAGGAGTTGGTTCAAACAGAAAGCAGGTTATAGGCCGTAAACAATGCTCTATTTATCAGTGGCATCCCACTTATCCTTTTATAAAGCTTTAATTCCCTTCAGGCTGCGCAGGGCTACAGGGTTTTTCTGCTTTTGTGTTCTTAAAGAGGATACACAGTAAGACCACTCAAACATTCAATAGCAATAAATTTGTAATCAGTGTTTAGCAATCCACACAGAATGAAATAGAAAATTATATTTTGTTGTATAATGTTGCCCCATTTATTATTATTATTTTTGCAGGCTAGTTTATCCCAAAATGAATTTTTAAAAAACCAGCCAAAGCAAATCTATCCATTCAAAGCTGTACACCAGGATTACTTACATAACAGCTTTTTACAGATTATTGTTGTCTCTTATTTTTTAGAGACATTCAAGCTACACTGTAGGCTTTTTGCCAAGATGTTTATCACTCACTCAAAACAATTACAAAATGCAATTCTTTGTCATTAACTTGTCCTTGTATTGCCCAGATAATAAGGTTGCGATACCAAATGGTTACAGTGCCAAAGTATAATAGAACTAGAGGCCAATGCACGAAATTCGTGCAAGAGTAGGTCTTCCTTCCCCCGGCTGCCGGCATCGGCTTCCCTCAGGCTCCCGGGACTTGGGCTTCCCTTGCAGCCCCGGCTTTGTCCGGAAAATCGTCCAGAAGGACGTCTGGTCTAATTAGCATATTACACTTTTATTATTATAGATTATCTAACACATCCAACAGTAATCTTTCTAAATCAAGTTCAAAAACTGTAACTCTCAAAAGACTTAGCTAGTCTTAACTAAACATATCATACAAATCTATTTCAAGATATTGCCATTCACAGTTAATGGCCTTTATTAATGATCAATTAGATGGAACTATTAATTTGTAACTGAGAAATGTGTGGCTTAAAAATGTTCTCAACTACTATTCTCTAATGACAGGATTGATTTAAATTCTGCAAGAGTCCATTTAGAGTTGTTTTTATTTAATTCCAACTAAAATGATTACAGTTATTTGCGTCATTAATTCTTACCAGCCACAAGAGAATATTTTAAAGAACTTGATCCACAGGCCAAATAATCTTACAAAGATTTTTTCTCCTGTTTTTATTCACTAGACTGATTCTCAAATTTTCAAAATATGATAGTCTTTAAGATTATATTCAGAACAAGTTGGAGTTTTTATCTGTAAGTGTACACATATATAATAGAAACACAGATACAATATTTTCAAGATTCTCATAATCCTATTTTTAGATTTTGTTTCAATAACTCCTAGACTTTAAAAAGTAATAATAATGTCGAGGAGACTAAGTTATTACTTTAAAATGTACTTCTTAAGCCCCAGCTAGTTTAGCTCAGTGGATAGAGCATTAGTCTGCAGACTGAAGGGTCCCAGGTTTGATTCCAGTCAAGGGCACATGCCTGTGTTGTGGGCTCCATCTCCAGTGTGGGGCGTGCAGGAGGCAGCCAATCAGTGATACTCTCTCATCATTGATGTTTCTATCTCTTACTCCTTCTCCCTTCCTCTCTGACATCAATAAAAATGTATTTTAAAAAAGATAATGCAGAATTGTAATACATACCTAGCAGAGCTTGAAATAAGCTGCTCCTAAAGATGCCCATCACCTTTTTAACAGCGTTTTTCAGCTGCTGCTCCTCTGGTTTCCTTAATTTTTTGCAGTATTCTTCCAGCAATGATAAAGCTCGGTCAGTATCTGAAAAACATGGTTTAAAAATTCTATCTTTTGGTCTTAGAAAAATAATAAGTTACATTACACAATTCTATAGTTGTATTCCTAATTTCATGATACAGACTAATTTAATAAGATAATCACAAATTGCATAAACCACCACATGAAATTGAGAATTACACTCAACTCCTAATTTTAAGAACCCACTTTTATTTCTATAGTCCTGTCTCCCAAAAGGATCTATAACCATGAAAAAACACAACACAAAGGTCCTGAATGCCATGTGGGCCAGGAGATGTTCACACAGCACATGTGATTCTCTCTTGCCAGAAACTTTATCTCAAAATTGGTAACTTCCTATAAAACAATGCCAAAATTCCTTAGTTCAAGGAATTAAGGAATTCAAGGCCTCCCTCTCATGTATATTTTCAGCTATATTTCTTAGCACACATTCCGCCCTCTTTTATACACACACACAATGCCCAA